TATAGGAGTAGGTTTCATAGAGTTGGCAAATAAATTTTTCATAAGTTTGTAGGTACAGACATCTGTTGTGGCTGTTTTTATGAGGCTTTTTTAATAGTGTTCATATCGTTATCGGAATTATATCGTATCGACCGAAATTAAGAAATATATTGTGATATAAATTTAGGCCATATCATCCAGCCCTAATTTGTGGTTAAAAAGTATATCAATTAAAAAAAATGTTTTTTAGAAAATGGCCGATGGTTTGGCTCAGGGGTGCCCAAACTGGAGGGCCGGTGTCCTGCAGAATTTAGCTCCAACCCCAATTAGACACACCTGAACCAGCTAATCAAAATATTGCTAAAATAAATGTGTAAGTAAAAAATGTAAGTCGCCTGGTAATTTATGGTGGAAAAACAGTAAAAGTTCACATGAAAGCTTCACATTTATTTATTTTTGTTGCACATTTCTTATTTTGTCACCTTTTATGTTGTTTAGTTGAAGTATTAGTTCACTTCCAGAATAACAAGTTCCTGATCATTTACTCACCCCCATGTCATCCAAGATGTTTATGTATTTCTTTCTTCAGTCGCAAAGAAGTTAAGGTTTTTGAGGAAAACATGCCAGGATTTGTCTCCATATAATGGACTTCAATGGGGAACAACGGACTATATATATATATATATATTATTCCTCGGCTGGGATCGTCTAGAGCCCTTTGAAGCTGCACTGAAACTGCAATTTGGACCTTCAACCCTTTGGTCCCCATTGAAGTCCATTAGATGGAGAAAAATCCATATCTATGTTTTCCTCGAAAACCTTAGTTTCTTTGCGACTGAAGAAATAAAGACATGAACATTTCTGATGGCATAGGGGTGAGTAAATTATCAGGAGATTTTTATTCTGGAAGTGAACTAATCCTTTAATGTTTATTGTATTATTTTAGTTTCATGTGTGTTACCCTAACAGTGTTTGTGTACTTTTGGCGGTTAATGAATAGGTCCACTTGTCGTTATCGTATTTTTATTGTAAATTTTTCAAAAACAATAGTTTTACAGTAAATTTAACAGGACTATACATTGTTTGCCATTCCTTATTAGTCAGAATTGTCTTCACTACAGTCTCTTACTGCGAAATGTCCTTTTATTGGAATAATGGCACATCACATTGCGTCACATTACAGTTGAATACTTACAGATGTGCTTTCTATTGAGTGAACTCTCTAATCACACTTTCAGGATCCTACTATGAGTCGAGCTTTTACGTGAGAACACGAGTCTGAGTGTTCTGACACTCTCCTTATCGCATCCGTATGGCTTTTGCAATGTTTTCCTGCTTTTCTGACACTTGCTTTCTGCCTGCCTTCAACATGATTACAGCAGCTTTCCAACCCTGTCCTCCCACTCTGAACTTGGAGTGAATATAGCCGACCCCACAGCCCACTACATTTTCAATCCCAGTGTGTAGGAGCCCATATCCGGAGCCTTCCTTCAGCAAAAACACCTCTGAATTTGATTGCGGATCACTGCTGATTTACAGGGATTTTCAGATTTGGGTTCCAAAAGCACTGCATTGTGTCAAGAAGAAGATACAACGCGCTTTATCAAACACTGCATATTCTAAATGCACAGAGAATGGTTGAAAGTGGCATAACATCAGATTGTTGAGCGCAGGGGGGTAGTATTCACAGTTGGGTCGTCTCCAGTTTTCTCTCTTCACCATGACAACATCTTCACACTTCTAGAGCGCTTGTTGCTATCGGTTGCAGTGAGAATATACAAACTGCCAGACGGTGGCAGCCCTATTTGTAGAGTCATGCATGTTTAATGTTCCGGTTAGCTTTTAGGTCACCAAAATACACATTTGTTACGCAAACCAAAGTTCATCGAAGTTCGACTCATGCACTTCAGGGGATAATTTAGTGCAAAGTGTAGAACAGTCAGTACTAAAACAGCACATTACCCTCGTCAAGGTCACAATAATCAATACCTGTCTAAACTGGCTTCCGCTAACAACATGCCTCGTGTCTATTTTGATTTGCTCCATTAATTCTGCTTTCAGTTTGACGTGTAAATACCTGTCAGGTTAGCCTGAATATGTTTTAGGCTCCTCGGCTGATGACAACATTGAATAGCATGAAGGAACATGAGAAATTGTGCTTCCTGCAGTTAATGGCCTTATCTGGATGCCACTAATGCATTTTGTGGAACTGAAAGTTATGGTGGCGGTAAACGGTAAATGACTTTGAAGGTCACACATTAAAGTAATTTAGTGAACTTTTATACTGGAAAACACCGGCTTCCTGCAGGGCCAGATTGAAAGGTGTTGACGAGAATGGCGGGAAATGTGAGATTATATGGTTTTATGTAGATAGAACCCTTCTAATAATCCAGTGCATATGCTGTCAGATCTCTGATTGTATGAATCATGTTGCACACATTGGCTGGTCATCCTACATGATGCATTTCATCTCATCTCCTGTGACATTTTCCATCAGGTGGAAATTATGTCATTTAAAGATGCTGTATGTGATGTTAGCCATCTTGCTAGCCTTCGTCAGACTAAAATAGACTGTCTCCGTCTATTCATCCACACGCCTTGGGAGTCCAAGGTTGCTGATTGGCTAAAAAAGTGCAGGCCATGCTTAGATTTCTTTTCTTCTTACAAAGCCTTAAAAGCCTTACAGAGTGACAGTTAGGACTTTTACACAATAAAAAAAAATATATATATACAGTGATATATATATATATATATATATATAAATATCCACGTCATAAATGCTGTTCTTTTGAACTTTTTGTTCATCAAAAAATCCTGAAAAATAAAGATAACAGATTTCACATAATATTAAGCTGGATTCATTATTGATATTGATAAGAAATGTGTATTGAGCAGTAAATATTAGAATGATTTCTGAAGGATCATGTGACACTGAAGACTGGAGTGAAGATGCTGATAATCACTTACAGCAGCTTTAAGATGGTCTTTTCAAAGCCCCTGTTCATATCTCATTCATTCATTTGTGCATTTATGTTCTCTTTCAGTCATTTCATTGTCGTGTTGCAGCACCATGATTGCAGCTCGACCAGGTCTCGTCCCATTCGTAGATATTTGTGATATCACAAATCCCGGAAAATATGCGTTGTAGTCCAAACGAGTCGTTCATTGTAGTTTTTGAAAATTGATTTCTGTTAAATAAAATATCTTCTTTTGAAGAGGACTTTGAGCTTTGTAACTTTGCAGATCTTTTTTATGCTCAAACAGCAACATTACAGACAAAAGCATAATCGGACCCTTTTAATGAATCCCTAAAGCACATTGATTTGCAGTGCTGCCGAGAGCATGAAGAAACACCAAGAAAAATACAGTCCACATGCACTTAGTCAGAGCGCTAATGCATGTAAACGTGTCTTGCTTTTCAGTTTGTCACCCAGCCAGAGCCCCATCATCCTGAGTCCATGCAGTCCAGGCAGCCCCTGCAGTCCCTTACAATCCCTTCACCCCTGGAGGTAAGACAGCCGATTCGCATGCCAAAACATTACATAAACCTGCTCCGGTCCTGCAGAGAGACAGAACTGTCTTCAGTTAGTCAGCATGACAAACACATCTCATTGATTTTTTTTTTCTCATTTAATGTGACCTACACTCATATCTATATGTAAAGCTCATGCTATTTGATTCATATGGATAGCAAAAGCACCTGAGCACATGGGATGCCCATGACTGACTAGTTGATTTTAGTGTTGTTTATCTCCTTTTTAAAATCCCCCGCAACAAGACAGTTTATGTAATATGAGAGTTTTAATGTTATAATTTGATGCAGAAGTTAAATATATTCTAGTAGCCTGTGTTATATGATATATATGGAACAAGCTTGAAGCCCATACTGCTAGATAGATCTATCGATCGATCTATCTATAATAATAATAATCATATTTTACTAATATTTTTAAATAAATACAATTAAAATGAAAAAGAATATTTAAAAATCAATAAAAATAAAATGCATTTCTAAAAATCATTATATTCGATGGTCTGACTTTGACTAACTCTCACGTGAAAAAGTAATGTCACTGGGGGAAAACGCTTACTTATTACTTTGCATGTCACTTAACATGCAAAAATGATAAATTATTTAGAAGATGCTTAATTGATATATACATATACATATATATATATATATATAAAGGCTGTATAATTATAATACATTATATATGGCCTATTCCAGCTCTCACATGAAGATTTGATGTCACTGGTGGAGAAATGCTTATGTTAGGTCATACCATCTTTGGGATTCACTATATCTTCCATCTTAACATGCAAAAATTATTAATTTTTTTTATTTATAAATATTTTTAACAAAATATATATATATATATATCTTTGAAACAGTGAATAATTTTGCGACGCAATGGTTTAACTGATTCGTCGTTACTGATGCTGTAAATGTTATTTGCTCACTTTCTTATATAATTTATTCGTTGTTTGAATAAGCGTTGAAATTAAATAATCGGCCTTATGTTTTTATTAAATTGTGATCACGTTAAATAGCCTACCGTTTCAGACGTATTAAAAACATTTCGTGACATGACACACATTATCTGGTACTTGCCTAAAAAGAGGGGTTTATGGTGTGCTCTGTTATCAGATTACACTAACATTAGGTTACTTTAAAGCCTGAAAAAAAGTTTTCAAAATCATCCCCCCACGTGAAGATTCGAGTCACTGGAGAAACGATTACGTTAGGTCATACCACCTTTGAGTCCATCCGTTACATCTGATATATTATTCTCTTAACACGCAAAAATATGTATTCAGAAGGTGCAAAGTTAATATTTCTACGACAAATACCAAGGTGTTAAACACCTTAAAAATTGACATCTTTTAGTTAGACCCAGGGCGAACACTCGGCTTCGACTCCGCTCCCCCTCTTCAGTCAAAATGGTACATCCCAAGTTTATCACCCGGCAATCAATCAACGCGAGAGAAACAACCACAACACAGCGTCTTACCTATAAACACGGACTCTCTCCTGTTATCCGATGAAATGCGCTTTTTGGAAAGTAAATAGTTAACTTTGTGCCAGGTCGAGGCGATATCGGAAGATGATTTAAATAGAATGTGAACTTCTAAACTTTTACTAAGTTGCACGGCGAGTCCAGGCAAGCAGCAGCAGCGTGCCACACAAAGAGCAGCGATGAAGCGCTGCGAGCCAAACGCAGTCCCCCCTACCAGTTCATCCAGTCGTGAGGCGGACTCATGAATCGCAGAGGGGTTCGGGTTCTGTTACTCGGGTTTGCTTGGACAGTTGGCACGCTAGTCGTCTGCGATTATGTCTGATCCGAGTTCCTGGAGCGCGTTGCCTGGCAGCAGCAAAGCTCGTTTCGTCACGGGCGCGATGCTCAAGCGATCCAAAAGGTAACATGTTATATCAGAGGAGGCATGCACGATCAAAACTTTCTAATGTGTCAACTTTTGACACGCGACGTGGGCATTTCTCGGCCGATTTATGTAATCACGCTGTGGGGTGTTCAGTGATGCTATGGTTGTGTTTCAAAACATAGTGTGTTGTTTACCTAGACTGTATTTTGGGCGTCGTAGTCGCTTGTCTAGGACTATGAAAACTGTTGCATGGCTTTATTTTGAGCTGTTGATGATGGCATAGAAAAATATCTGCATGCATTGATAGACATCTGTAGCTGCAGACTAGCAAGGGATGAAGGTGCAATGCATGAGGTGTTAGATGAGCAAATGACAAATCACATGCACAACTTTAGTCTCGGGGGTAATGCAAGTGACAGCTGTGTTGAAGGACACCTCTGATGGCCAGAGCCTGCAGATGCTGCAGAATTACTCATAGGAGTATACTTAAATCAAAAAGCGGCGTTATTGTAACACTATTGAGAGCATGCTGCTCATTAAATCCTTTGTATTTTTCTTTGTCAACTTTGCCGTCGACCATAAAGGCTGGGCTGGATTATGTTGAAAGGTTTTTAATAATCCCTCTCCTCTTGTTTGTGTGTTGCAGCTGTCGCAACAGTAATAGAAAGAGCCTTGGGGTTGGAACGCCGTCGCCCACCCGCCCTCTTTCGCCTCTGTCCGCCCACACAGGTAATACTCGCTGTCACATGACATTGAGCTGGCCTGTGACCATTGAGAGGTTGATGTAGCTGGCGTAACATAAGCCTGTCCACTCCTTCAGCCTCATGCCTCTTACCACACTGCCTCAAGGGTTTACTTGATCGCCCCAAGAAACATGGAAAAATCCAGACCTGTATGTTTTTTTTTCTTCTTTTTCTGCAGAGCACAAAAGGAGAAGAGTATTTTGAAGATTCTTCACACTGCTCTTTTCCATTCAGCAGCAGTTTTATCAGTAACCATGTCTGTCGACTACAAAAATGACCAAAAAAAAAGCACAACTAAAGTAGATCATATGAATTTTGCGTTGTCTTTCAAAGCGTTTGATGTGGTATGATAGCTTTGTGTGAGAAAATTGATCATCTTTCCCACAGTGATTGGACTATTTGATTAGTGACACTAACTCAAGAAATAAATCCGTAACAGAATGACAAATCATGATTCTACCGAATGATTTGTTGACTTATATCATCAGAATCATGTATTAAGAAATCAGCTGTATTATTTGTTTGCGAATCTGCTGAATGATTCACCTGAACCATTTGCTCACAAATTAGTGTGAGGAATTTGTTCAAGAATCAGATGAATGATTCACAAATCGGACTGAATAACATATTTAACTAAATTCATATATATATGCAGAATTATATAGGAATATCATTCTGTCTCCTGAAATGCTCTTTGTTTTCTCTCTGTAGAGCGGAAGGGAGACGGTGGTCTCTGGCTTCACTTCCATCCTCAGGTTACGGGACCAACCCTCCCAGCTCAACCGTCTCAGTATGTGGCTCTCGTATATCTGTAATTAAGTCTTGTGTGTTCCATGAAAATAAAATGAACAGCATTTGGTTTGAAATGACATGAGGATGCATAAATAATGACAATGTTTGTCAGAACTTTCCATTAAATCCCTTTAATGGTAAAAAAGCAAAGGAGGATTAAGTATTGCTGTATGAATCAGCTCTGTGAAACATTCTCATATTTCCGCATACCTAGACAATAATAGTGTTATGTTTAAGGATGGTTTTCAGTAAATATGGGACCGTTTTATGTTCGCTGTAGCCATGTATTTGGAGTAATGTGTTTGTTTGTTGTTTTCCAGTCATCATCTTCATCACAAGAACGACTGCACCAGCTTCCATACCAACCCACACAGGACGAGCTTCATTTCCTGTTCAAACACTTCCGAAGTTCGGAGAGCATGACTGATGAAGATGGGCGGCCCTCCCCGTTTATGCGACCCCGGTCACGTAGCCTTAGGTAAACAAAAACACGTGTACACATTAATTGCAACATAGATTGCCACTGTTTGCATTTTATTCATATGATGCTGCTAAAATAACATTATTTTGTGTATTTGGTGTAATGAAATGTTTATGCAGTTTAAGGTTCAAAAAACACATTATTTTCCACATACTGTACATTATTGTTTCTCCTCTATGCCCCGCCTTTCTGAAATGCGTCGATTTTTATAAAGCTCATCGGTCGGAAAAAGCGAGGTGTGCTGTGATTGGCCAGCTATCCAGTGCGTTATGATTGGCCGGATACCTCGAGCGTGTGACGGAAATGTTACGCCCCTCACCATACTGTTGATGATGCCCTGTCCGGCCGGAGCGATGATTCGGGGCGTGTTAGAACGAGCCGTTTTAGGTAGGTGTGGCTGACTCTGAACTTTTATAAAGAATATCTCTTTGGATTTGAGACTTTAGTCTTTGCAACTTTACAGATCTTCTTTATGCACCAAGAGCTTGTAACACTCCGAAGAGAAAGGAAAAAGCAAAAAAAATGAAATAAAATGCAATGACTGTGATGTGCGTAGTCAAAATAGATTTGTAATAGATATGTAATATTAAAGCAAAATTTCACCCAAAAGGTCTCGCATTATTTACTCACTCATGTGGTTTCAAACTTGTATGAGTTTCTTTCTTCTACTGAACACAAAAGAAGATATTTTGAAGAATGTGTGTAACCATGCAGTTGTTGGTCCCCACTGACTTCCATAGTATGGAAAAAAAATACTATGGAAGTTAGGGGTACACGATATTATTGCAACGTTATTGGAATCGGCTGATAAAGACTTAATGTAAACATCGACCGATTTGAAAAAAATGTATGCCTACAAGATGAATAACTTACATGCTCAGGGTGTGCTAGCGATAAGATCACATCAGCAGTGTGGTCATTCTTGAAGCAAACTTTTTTACTGGATGGTGATTAGATTCATTATTTTGGATAGCCGCATTTAATTTGAGAATGTACAGAATGCGATGTCCAGTGTGCTGTAGAGTAAACAGTTACTAGTACCTGTAGTAGCAGCAGCGGCAGCCTCCCCCAGGTCCTAATGCCCGTCTGGTAAGATGTTTTATTTAAGGGGTTCTGTAGGCCTGCTTGTAATAAAATGAAAAGTAAAATACACTAATAACATTTCAGTCAGGACCACTCTGTTTGATAAAGATTATTAACTACATTAAAGGGGTCATATGATGCGATTTCAAGTTTTCCTTTCTTTTTGGAGTGTTACAAGCTGATTGTGCATAGATAAGATCCCTGAAGTTGCAAAGACTAAAGTCTCAAAACCAAAGAGATATTCTTTATCAAAGTTAAGACTCTGCCATGCCCCCCTATAACGGCTCGTTCTAACACACCCCCACATATCTACCTCACTATGTGGAAATGTTTGCATAATGCGCCCAAATGTGCACGCAAAGAAAGAAGGCGTGGTTTCAGTAACCGCAGTTAGTGTTGAAGCAGCATGTCAGGGAGACGCTGTGTGTTTCTAGGCGAAAGCAAAAGCACTTTATTTGGCCTTCCGAAAGTAGATGCATTTAGGAATCTTTAAGATCACTTACGACAGAACAGCAATGCATTTTCTGGACGACCGTTTCGTGAACCTAGGAGAGGAGGTAATTCTGACTTTGCTATGACAATCTGGTGCTTCTGAATCAGCTACTGTTTTGTTATTAGTTTAAGTATTTGCTATTGACTGCAAACACATACTAGCTTCATCACTGTGTCTGTCACGCGACTCTGTTCCCCTTTGGGGCTTGAACTGATGGTAAAACTTTAAGACATTATTTACTGTCTTTACATTTATTTTGAAAGATGAAGCTCGCGATTATGGTAAGGGGCGTTACATTTCCGACGAGTGCTTGCAGTGTTCGGCCAATCACAATGCACTGGGTCAGCTGGCCGATCAGAGCAGACTGCGCTTGTCGGAAGGAGGGACTTTGTAGAAAACTAAGCGTTTGAGAGAGGCGGGGCACAGAGGACCTACAATAATGTACAGTATTTGAAAAATAATGTGTTTTTTGAACATTACAGCATGTCAACATATTCTGTTACACCAAATGCACAAAATAATGATCTTTAAAAAAGCATCATATGACTCCTTTAAGATACTTGTTTCTGTATAAATGAAGCAGTAATGTCATAAAATCACGAGTCTGTTTTGATTTAAAGGTCAGAAGCTATAGCTTGCATGAATAAAAATCACAAACATGATACTTGTTAATTAAATAATTTAATATACAGATTTATTCAGTAATATGTAATATATATTTTTCATATGGATTGAAAACTTAAATACAAGGAGCTCGAAAAGATTTTTAGATTTTTTTTACAGCTCTTTTGTATTAGACCATCTATTAATGTTAAATCCACAAATAAAATGTTAAGGTTTCAACTGCATCCGTCAAAAAATAAAAGAATAAATATTGTGCATCCCTAATGGAAATCAGTTGTATCCAGAAACTGTTTGGCTTTGTGTTCAGCAGAAGAAAGAAATTCATACAGATATAGAACAGCTTGAGGATGAGTGAGTGATGAAAGAATTTTAATTTTTGGGTGAATTGTCCCCTTTAAAGGCCACTTTATGGTGTTTCTTTGGTGCCTTTGCACCCTTTTTTGAAGCTTGAAAGCCTAAATCGTAACTGTATGAAAAAGAACAACCATAAAGAAAGTCATATGGGTTTGAAATGACTTGATGATGAGGAAATCATGACAAATTTTTCTCCTCTTGTCAGATGAGTGGATTCCTGACTAATAGGAATATCCAGGGTTTCCCCATCAAAACAAAACAAAAGGAGCGTTTTTGTTTTGCAAAAGAACCTCCCTCGAGGCTGAGTCATAGAAGAGACAGATTTTACTGTGGTGTAATTGAACACGGGTTTGAAATTTGCATCTGACCAGTTGATATGCGAGAGGATGAGTCTGAAGTAGAAACTAAAGTCAAATGAGTTTTTTTTTGTGTGTGTGTGTGTGTTTATGAGGCCACAGACTGCAGTGCAATGCCTCACCTTTAGCCCACTGCTCGCTTGGTTTTTGAAATAAAAGAGGTTTAGTTGGTATGTTTGTAAGTAAAGTATTTAACCATCAATCTACATGATGGCAGTTTTTATTAGTGATGCAATGGAATAATTTCTGCCGAAACAGCCATTTTTGGTTTCGAGCTGAAATAGTTTTGAAGGGCCAGAATCATTGAATGGACCAGTGACGTTCAGGGTTCGTACGGTCATGAAAAACCTGGAAAAGTCATGGAATTTTAAAACTGCAATTTCCAGGCCTGGAGTAGTTTTGGAAAAATTAATAAACCCAGAACATTTTGGAAAAGTCATGGAAATTTATTTCGGATATATTTGTGCAATAGGATATATTTTTAAATCAGGTCCTGAATTTCGGTGTGGTATCGTGCATATATTGGCTAGTTTTACTCATTTCCGCAGGTTTCGCATTTAGAATATGGGAAATCCCCGCAAACATTTATTTAAAGGGGATCATATGATGCGATTTCAATTTTTCCTTTCTCTTTGGAGTGTTACAAGCTCTTGATGCATAAAGAAGATCTGTAAAGTTGCAAAGACTAAAGTCTCAAATCCAAAGAGATATTCTTTATAAAAGTTCAGAGGCAACCACACCTACCTAAAACGGCTCGTTCTAACACGCCCCCACATACCTACATCACTATCTGGGAAAATTTGCATAACGCTGCCCAAATGTGCATGCAAAAAAAGAATGCGTAACTTTTATTCTCGCTGTAGTTGTTGCCGCCGCCGCCATGTCGTGAAGGCGCTGTGTGTTTCGTTGTGAAAGTGAAACTACTTTGTTTGGCCTTCCAAAAGAGGACGATATAGCTTCGTCATGCCTGGAGCTGATCCGTGCTGGTCGCTGAGGAAATACATCAACTTCGCACTGTCGATCGCCGGATCGGCTTTCACTGTGGACGAAGTGGAGTCCAGCCTGGGGTGGTTGCCGCAGGCACCATAATATGGCAAGGGACGTAACATTTCCGTCACAAACTTGAGGAATTCGGCCAATCACAACGCACTGGATAGCTGGCCAATCAGAGCACACCTCGCTTTTTCAGACCGATGAGCTTTGTAATAATCAGCGAGTTTCAGAAAGGCGGGGCATAGAGGAGAGACAATAATGTACAGTATGTGGAAAATAATGTGTTTTTTTAACCTTAAACCGCATAAACACATTTCATTATACCAAATACACAAAATAATGTTCTTTTTAGCAACATCATATGACCCCTTTAATATAGCATGTAGGTTAGATGTAAATAAATCCACACAGAATATTGGATTGAATCAGTCATATGAAAACAGCATGAGTGATTCAGCGGTACCGTGTCTTTTCTCTCTTTCACTCTCTCAAAACGGCTTCTCATCAGCGCATCTCGCCTGCACTGCAAGAGCTGCTGCACGCTGCGATTACAAGATTTTTGCTCACGTTTTGGGACAGTTGACAGAATTGTCACTTGCCTGATCGGGCCAGTGCTGCATTTTCACAAAACTGTATCATTTGCACATCTTTTTGTCCTTTTAAAGCATTGGTTAGTCGCACACATTGGTTAGTCGCACCCTCCAGACGGTTTTCTGTGCGCTCATAAACCCGCCTCGAAAACACCTCGCGAGTACCAAATTGAGTATTTTTTTCGCTGCTTATTGCTCTTAAGCGGCCAAATACACACAAAATTATGTAAAAATGCCCATCCTTGCGAGTATCCTCATAAACACAGTCGGTTTTGTCTTAAGTGAATGTAAACCGTTGTGTATCAGTATATTGGATCCATGCAGTCGGTCTTAAAGGGACAGCAGCTGTGCCTTCTGTCATTAATGTTAATCCAAAAAAAAAAAACTTTTGTAACGTTAATTTTAAGGATTAATCTGTTTTTAATTTACAGTTTATTTGATTTCTGTATATTTCTGTACCTGAATGCTACTTGTTAGACCTAAACTGTTTCCTAAATAAAATTCAGGTCCTGAGTTTAGTTTTAAATAAATTATAATATTCAGTGATGGGATGTGTTCTCTGTGTGGATTAACCTCTGGCACAGTCGAAGCTTGTACTTATTATGAAAACAAATAGAAAGCAAATAAGTAGCATTAATAGTCATTAATTTTAGTTAACATATGCTATGATAAATTTGAACATAGATTTTTCTTATTTTAAATGTATTCTTGTAAAATAATGGAACATTAGGTCATGAATAGTCTTAAAAATAATGGAAAAGTCATGGCAATTTATTGGTAAAAATGTGTACGAACCCTGGATGTTTAATTAGCAGTTCTCTGTATTTTGATCATGTCAATGTCTATTTCAGCATGGATAAACTACCCCAGGTAAACATGTTAGCTGTGTGGATGCTAGTGCTGGATTAACAATATCGATTTGTAATTTTTAATCGATATGGATTCTTAAATCGCAAGATCAGTCTTTTATTCTGTGCTGTTTTCTGTCGATGCGTGAACCTAACTAAATATTATTGTCGCACTTGCCATCTAATAATTGAAATAAGTTTTGTGCTTTGTCACTTTTAATATGAAACAAATGTCTCAGCTTTTTCCTTGTGTGCAATTTAAATGTTTGTACAACTCGGTTTTTATTTGAGTGTTGATTATTAAACAACAATTATTGATTATTACATTTATTTTTGGTTTCGGTTTTCGGCATCCTGATTATTCGTTTCAGTTTCAGCCCAGTACATAGCAAGTTTTCATCTGTTGTTCTCCTTGTTTCAGCCCTGGACGAACTGGCGGCTCCTTTGATAATGAAATTATAATGATGAACCATGTCTATAAGGAGCGTTTTCCAAAGGTATGTAGTGCCAACTGATTATTGGCAGTTTTCCCTCTACAAATCTGCGATGCCTAATGTTCTTTCTGCTGTGCAGGCCACCGCTCAGATGGAGGAGCGTTTGCTGGAAGTCATCAGGCAGTTTTCCCCAGACAGCACCCTACCGCTGGGAGACGGCGTCCTGGGATTTATCCAGCACCAGTTGGTGGAGTTGGCCAGGGACTGTCTGGATAAATCCCAGAAGGGCCTGATCACATCCCTGTACTTCATAGAGCTGCAAGATAAACTGGAAAAAATGCTGCATGAGGTGAGGCGGGAATTTCTAAAAAGTTTTTTGTTCGGTGAATCCAGACAATTGTTTGGGTATGAAACTGATTGTTGATGCTGGAGACGTGGTCTGCACATGCTTTGACATGTGGCACCTGCATACGGGCGACCCATGTACAGAAAGACTAAAAACAAAAAAATATTATGGCGACACAGTAGCTAGATTCACCTGATAGGTATTTTGGATTGACAGCCATATTTACTAACTATTGTGAATTTCATATTAGTTACATATCATGGACAGGGGCATTCACATGGGATAAGTGAAGCCTGTGATTGTACTCGAATTTACTGACTTCTCCCAGATATGAATGTTCCTTACCGCATGCTGCTATACATGTCATCCATCTCCATCTAATTGTTCTTTTTGTTTTCGCTCTTCTGATGGTTTTCAGCTTTCTCTTTCTGCAAATTGTATAGTTGTATGGTGTAGAGCGACAGGGGCGGTCCTAGACCCTTTTAGGTGGGCTTCAGCCCCCTTAAAACTATCTGAACGATCGGGCCAGTGCTGCTTCCTCAAAGTTTATCATTCTCATGAAAGAGACCTCAACTCGTGCACTGTCATAGATCGTCTCTGTGCGTAATACCATATGGCTTTTGACATCATTTACTTATTTTTTTCAATGTATCATATTGGCCCGAATATAAGACGACCCTGATTATTTTCCAGATGTACCTTTTGGAAAAAGGCTTTTTAAAAACCAAATCTTGTTTTTTTTCTCAGTAAAACACATTTTGTCTTCAATTATTTTCATATTGCATATTTTTCCTATTTTAATTTTTGTTTTGTAAGTATGGTAAAAACTGGTAAACTGTACCAACAATCACATTTAAGAAATATACACTTTTTGATATACCATTTAAAAAATTAAAAAACAGGTAGCCCATCTGAATTAGGACATTTAGGCTATCCATCTAATAGTAGCCTACCAAAATCTTATTAACAGTAGAAGTTAAATCTTACTGTAGTCTTCAAATCTGGGTACTGTCTTACGTTTTAAAATCACAAAGGGAGTTTGGTCCCATCAGGCTAACGTGACATTCACGACTCATGCAGCTGTAAGTTGTTTTTCTTTTTCTTTTGTTTTTACTCGCGATCTTTACATCACGCATTACATTACGTATTTCATGGCACACTCGTTTTATGTGTATTTGGCACCACCTATTGTTGTGGGTGTATTATTGACATGTCAAAGTCTAGACCCTGAATATAAGACGACCGCGTTTTTTCAGATGTATTTCCAAGAAACTAAACATCGTCTTATATTCGGGACAATACGGTATTTGTCTACCACATGACTTTGATTTGACAGGCAAATGTTTTAATGTTATTAAAAACTAAAAGAAAAATAATAATAAAAGGTTATGCCAAAGTAAACTATTAAATTTTTTCAAGAATTTTGTTTTAACAAGTGTTTTTATATATATATATATATATATATACAGTGGGTACGGAAAGTATTCAGACCCCCTTAAATTCTGACCAGCTTTTTGAATATGCTGATTTCATTTTCCAGCAGGATTTGGCACCTGCCCACACTGCCAAAAGCACCAAAAGTTGGTTAAATGACCATGGTGTTGGTGTGCTTGACTGGCCAGCAAACTCACCAGACCTGAACCCTATAGAGAATCTATGGGGTATTGTCAAGAGGAAAATGAGAAACGAGAGACCAAAAAATGCAGATGAGCTGAAGGCCACTGTCAAAGAAACCTGGGCTTCCATACCACCTCAGCAGTGCCACAAACTGGTCACCTACATGCCACGCCGAATTGAGGCAGTAATTAAAGCAAAAGGAGCCCCTACCAAGTATTGAGTACACGTACAGTAAATGAACATACTTTCCAGAAGGCCAACAATTCACTAAAAATGTTTTTTATTGGTCTTATGACGTATTCTAATTTGTTGAGATAGTGAATTGGTGGGTTTTTGTTAAATGTGAGCCAAAATCATCACAATTAAAAGAACCAAAAACTTAAACTACTTCAGTCTGTGTGCATTGAATTTATTTAATACACTAGTTTCACAATTTGAGTTGAATTACTGAAATAAATGAACTTTTCCATGACATTCTAATTTATTGAGATGCACCTGTATATATATATAATATTCATTATTTCACTTGTATCTGTTTTTAATTGATCAATTAAAAACGTACTCCTCACAGAACAAACGGGTATATTTAGGTTGTATGTATGAATTACATTTCTTATATTTTTTTGGGAATAAATTAATAGATCCAAGCAAAAAAAGGGTCAAATTATTGATCTGCATATAAACTGAGCTCGTTCTCAAAATTTGTAGATGACCGCTAAAAGTTTTAGATAGTCGTACGGCTGTGTGATGAATGACATTTTAATCTTGATTTCTGCTTCTCTCGATTTTAAGCATAATTGTTTAGTAATCGTGATTCTATTTTTCAGCAAAATCGTAATTAACCGTTTAACCAATATCGTGCAGTCCTAGTCAATCAAATATAGAATGCAATTTTTTGTGAAAAACCTTTAAGCCAGAAATCGCTAGTCAATTTCACAAATAAATGCTAACACATTCAATTAAAAGCATTTTAGACTTTTAGAATTATCTAGGAAAACATACTCTTATTCTCCAATCTTTGTTTTATTTACAACTTCGATTTACAACTTCTAATATCTATGCGCCACAAGTTTGAATTTAGTTTGACTTTGGTCAACTAGTCTTTTTCATGACCGCATGAACAACTGTTTTCAGGCTAAATTCTGTTGCTTTAGCCAGTGTCAGCTTGGTAACGCTGTCCTTTTCTGATTATGCCAAAGCCAGCATGTGGTCTGAGATGGTGGTTGTGGTTTGGCAGGAATATCAGGCTGACGGCGGCATCAGGGCATGGCTGGGTTCTGTGACTGCTGCTGTTAGTGTGCTGCTGGCTTTAAGGGGCCAGAAACATCATGTATTCTCAACAGAAACTGTGACCATTTCCCCTAATGAGTGTGAAATCCACCTCATTCCCCAAGGTGTTTTTACTCTATAAATACTTTGCGATTTTTTTATTTTTTTACACCCACCAAAAAAAGATCATCCACAAACTGAGTTAGCTGCATGCACGTACATTTGCATACATGCGATCGTTTTCATGTAATTGCATGTGTCGTTTTGTGTATAAATGCGTGCATACCCTGCAGCAGAGGTTTTGATTAGAAATATAGATCTCCCCGTTGAAGCTCCATGCTCATCTTTGCAACTACAGGGTGTTAGTTTCCATAGCAACCCTTACGCCCACCCTGTATGTAGTGTTCAGACAACCCCAGGCAAGACTCAGCGCTGTCAGATCGCTGCTGTGTGCTGGATGTCGTGCTCATAGATAAGGCTATTAAAGTGTTTCCCACTTGCCTTAGTCAGCGGTGCCAAGCGCGGGGCCCCAGATGCTGCAGTCATGCCGCAGTTTAGCTGTTCTAACTGTTCAATCATCAACCTGTTGTGATTGATAGTCAAATCCTGCGGTTTTGTGTGGATTTGTGGTTACATCAGTCTACTCTGCGCTGTTCCGCTGTCATTCTCTGCTCCCTTCTGGGATCTCATAGTCTTTGCTGATTTATTTTCACTGGCGTTATGGAAAAAAAAAAAAAAAAAAAAAAGAGACCGATAAGGCATGTCAGTGTAACAGTCATATTTTATTATTATATTCAGAAGTAATGTAAAATATTGGTAAATAAAACAAAAAAATATAAACTCAAATCCTTTAAATTTAACAAAATTCAGAACAAACTAAATTAGTGGCATTCATTATAAACGTTATAATGCCAAGACTAAATTTAAAGCTTTTAAACTTGGGCTCAGGTACCTCTCTTTCAACACAAATTGAAATGTTTTGCGTAGTGCTGGGCGGTATACCGGTTCATACCGAATACCAGTGTTTATTTTTGTTATGATATGAATTTTTTAAATCCCGCAATACCGGTCGGTGTATGTCGCTTAAACAACGTTCGGAACGCAACACTGTTTGAAAGGGGTCCCTTTTCACTGTTGCACTGTGGTGAGGGAACAGCTGTATGTGTTACTAAGCGTGAAAGTTCTGAAGCTGTAGAACTAATAGAACGTGATGACAGAAGAACTCATCCACAATATCCACATTGACCGCCACAAATATCCACCGTCCCCTGCCATCAGCTCCTGCGTCTCTCACACACGAGCGCGACTTTAGCACTAGATTTAGCAACTTTCAGACCCTTTTAGCGGCTTTTTTCCATAGAATATTCATACTGGCAAACCTAGCGACTTTTTTGGATAAACCTTAGCTATGGTTCAGTTGAAAGATTTCGCCAGTGCTGTCCCGTGAACGCAAGGTCTGACTTTCCAGAAGAAGTGTCACTTCTCTCGGCGTCTGTTCTGTGCAGTGAGCGGCAGAGAAGCAGCGCATTCTGTAGCGCATTCAGTTGGCCGCACTGCAGCCAACTCGTCAATAAATGAGTACAAAACAGCGTTTCCTAGCACCTGTCGCTTACTGATTGTTTGGAATTATAAATATGAGCGTAGTTCGTCTGTTAATATCACATGCTCCATTTTTTTTTTTGTCGTCTGTTGGGGTATTTTTTTTTTGTTGTTTTTTTTTACGCTCAGACGCAGGCAGTGCGCTGCAGGAGACAAAAAATTAATATAGCCAAAACAAACCGCATATTTTTTTACTATAGTCACTCATCATGACAGTAAAATAGGGCATTCTAAGTCGATATACAGCAGTATTTCCTCTCTCAATCAGTAGAAAATATGGTTAACACCCGGTCATGCATGAAAAAAAAAATACCGTGTAACCGGTATAATTTTGAAAAATACTGTGACAAATTTTTTGTCATACCGCCCAGCACTAGCTTGACGTTATTTATGTAATAAGTCACTTTGAAATATAAGTCACAGCACACTTCAGATGATAGAAATGTTTTGTATTTCAGAAAATTAGGAAAATATTCAGAAAATATTTATTTTTCAATATTGTGCAGCATCTGTTTTAACTTCAACTTTTCATTAGTTAAAAAAAAACTTGTCAAAGTTAAAGGGGCAGTAAGCAGTTTTTGAGAAATGCTATTGAAAGTGGATGGGACAAAGCACCAAAATACACTTGTAGCCAATCACCAGGAAGGAGCTTGTCCAGTTGTGATGGGGTAGGTGACTGTTTTGCATAGCATGCTTGTGAATTTGGAGGTGGAGCTATCAAGATAGGGTTGTGATCCTTTTGGGGAGGGGCGTGTTTGTTTTGGTGATTTCAGATATCAACAGCGTTTCTCAGAAATCGCTTACTGCACCTTTTAATACAACTCCCAAATTGTTTTTTTTAAAGGGTTCACTCAAAAATGAAAATTCTGTCGTTAATTACTCACCCTCGTGCTATTCCAAACGCATAAGACCTTCGTTCATCTTCGGAACACAATTTAAGATATTTTTGATCAAATCTGACAGCAAGGTAACTACCATGTTCAAGGTCCAGAAAAGTACCAAGATGATTGACAAAGTAGTCCGTGTGACATCAGTGGTTCAACTGTAAAGTCACGAAGCTTCGAGAATACTTTTTTGCGCAAAGAAAACAAAAATAACGACTTTATTCCACATTTTCGACTCTACTGCGTCACTTGTGGATGCACGTTCACGACAGTATCATGACGCGAGCGCTGTGATGTGGCGGCGCTGACCCAGATCCGGCGTATCCACTGATGTCACACGGACTACTTTGTCGATCATGGTACTTTTCTGGACCTTGAACGTGGTAGTTACCTTGCTGTCTATGGGAGGGTCAGAGAGCCCTCAGATTTCATAAATATCTTAAATTGTGTTACAAAATGAACAAAGGTCTTACGGGTTTGGAACAACACACGGGTGAGTAATTAATGACAGAATTTTAATTTTTGGGTGAGTTCGTGTTTTCAGACTTTTGGACATTTATCAGTTTCATGAATAATTATTGAATGTTGCAAATGGAACCCCATGTTGCGCTTGGTCCTTGAGCAAAAAATACTATCTATTTATGATCATGTAAACGGTAAGGACAGCCTGAAGCTGGGCATCATTATAAAGCTCTGTGCTGCAGGGGCACAAGCCACAGTGGAGTCTGAGCTGCCATCTACTTATGATGGAAAGAGACTGGCTGGCTGCAGTGCTAAAAAAGGAAACGGTTCATTGTTTTGATTGTGACTGTTCGTGTCGAGTTAGAAGCATCCATGTTTCCCTCAAACCCCTCTTGCAGTGGCATTTGGCTGTCTGCGAAACATGAGTCACACATCTTATCGTGCTATGAGGCTCTTTAATGCTGAGCATGTCTCCCTCACTTTGTTCGGCTTCATCAAATGCATAAAAATGCAGTAATTTTAGTTTTTCGTAGGAGTCGCCTGACCGAACGTGATCCTTTGTTTACTCAGCTTTTCTCCTAAACAGCCTTACGTGAGGAGACAGCAGCTCAAGAAAGATTACAAATGTTTTTATGCGCTCTGTCACAGACACTTGTGTTTAGGATATAATATCTGATTAAGTCTCGTCTTTAGATTGGCATGTAATGCATCTCAAATCCAGATTCAATGAGTATCCAGAGTTGATTAAAATTCACACGAGCGCCTGGAAAGGATTTGATCCTGTAGCACAAGTAGCTCATTACCTCCCACTCCCGCATCCCACAAGCCAGCAGATTCCCCTGCACAAGCAAGAAATAACATTCCAGTCACTTCGCCAAATACTGTCCAGTGTTCAGAACGGATACAGTGTTCTTCTGTCTGTTTGATGATCAGCACAGTATGCTGCTAAAATGGTGTGCCTTAGTAAATTAAATCACATCTTCAGTTTTGTGACTCTTTTTTTTCCCCGATTGAGTCCACTTATATTGTCAACATTTCATGCTTAAAACTGTTG